TGTGTGAAATACTGAAGAGTAAAAGTGTTTTTGAAAACTCTGGTAATTTGAATAGGAGTTGGGTTTCTGGCATTTCCACAAGTATTTCTCTGTTGACCAAAATAATTTTCCACACATTCCTGATTTACATTCCTCGTCAATATGTAGGAGTCTCCTTCACTATGTAGGTTTTCTCAAAGTTGCAGAAATGCTGAAATTGTTATCTGCCATCCTTCAGTGAATCTCATTTGTCCAGTAATGTTTTTTCCTTTTTTTTTGATATTACAGTTAATTTGCTGAAAAATATTTTCATTTCTTTCAGAAAATCAATTTGTTTTGATGTTTCGAAAAAAGGTTTTTTTGAAATGTTTGACATCGTCAAATCGTTTTGAATTCAAAATATCAAACACTTTATCCATTTTTTCAATGAATGTAGCCGTTCCTATTGCTGCTGATGGTATCCTGCACGTCATCTTGATTTCAAACAGGTTGGAGCCTGGCTCCCTTACCCTTTGAACTGATGTTTGCAATGCTGCTGATGGTATGTGATTGAAACTGGCATAGGTATTTATCGCTGTAGTTACCGAATAACTGAAAACTTGACTGGCTAATTTAACCTTCATCCTTTGAAAATTTGGGTGCTAGTTTATATTGCTTTTCCTTATCCACGTTGTAAAGTTGTTCAAGATGACTTTTTGTTCGTTGTATATTCATCAAATTTCAAAAAGTCATAAAAAAATTGGTTTCTGCTATATTTCAGCAAATGAGGAATATTAAAAAAGTAAAATATTTTTTCTCTCATCAACAAAGAAATATGACTGCTTTACAGTCTCTTCGAGATCTTTTCTGGCAAGTTTATAAAAATTAGAACCTAAATCCGAAATGATACCCCTAACTCTCAATCCAATTTTTGATAATTGCCTAACAGCTTCAATCACAATACTTTTTATATCCAATATTGATGTGGATGAATTGGTAAAAAAGTATGCAACAAGCTGTTTCCAGTTCGAATGTATGCCTTTTACCATGACTACCAAGGCATATTCTGCTATAGAAGCCGTTTTCTTGTTAAATAATTCCTCAAAACCAACTATTCTATCATTTCCTATATTGTAGAATAAATGTGACTTGATCCTCATTTCATCGAAACAAATGTTGTAATCCTTATCTTGATTACTGAAGTAATTGATTTTTAATCACTCCACTATATATGGTCTGTAACAATTTATTTTATGATTTTCGTTATATGTTCATTACTTCAATCTTACATAATAAATAATAGAAAAACATACCTTTTTTAGTCAATTGGAATTGCTGCACAATATGACTCTTATAAAACAAAAAACACTTACTATTAAGGTGCAAAAGTGACTTTTTGAAGGATTCCATAGGAATATTTTTTGAAGCAAAAATAGATTTAATATAATGCGCCTATCCTGATGATAGTTCCAGGAGCAACTTGAAGAAAAAAAGGCTTTCGAGAAAGTTTTCCAAACTTTGTTGAGTCGAAATCAAGTACCTAGCTGCTGTCTTATTACAATAAGAACCTTTCCTGATTTATGGTAGATCAGAGGAGAAAACAGGATATCGATAATGTATTCTGATTACATATAAAATAAACTTGTTTCAATTATCACAATAGAACATAGATTTTTTATTGCCTTTCTAAAGCCAAATGCAAATTATACTCAACTGGCGGTAACAGTTTTGCTGTGTTCGAACGAGGTAACCAACTGCATATCCGAAATTTGCCCAATTCCTCGTATAAGGAAAAAACTTCACATATAGTCAGTGGGCATACTTGAAGACTGGCTATAACTCAAATCCTCTGAAGGAACAATTTGTTCGTTCGCCAGTCTCAACTCCCTTCACCGTAGGTTAATGGACTGACACCTATCATAAAACAACTACTCCCCTGGCTGATACCACGAAGGGCGTTGGATTATATCCGAAGTTATTCCTGCATATGCTGTTGGCGATACAACTGTCGAAATCGATTTTCAATTATTGGAACACACTTGCGGACTGTTTGACCACTCGTCAGTGCAAGGTAGTGTCTTTCATCAACATAAAGTCGATGATTTCCGATAATTGAAAGAGTATCATTCCTCGAACTAGACTGAAGCGGACAACAAACATCAGATTTGTCATCGCCCCATCTGCCTGTGAACGAGGTAACCAACCGCATATCCGAAATTTGCCAATTCCTCGTATAAGGAAAAAAACTTCACATATAGTGAGTGGGCATACTTGAAGACTGGCTATAAATCAAATCATTTAAAGGAACGATTTGTTCGCCAGTCTCAACTACAACAAAAACTATCGTAAAACTACTCCTCTGGCTGATACCACGAAGGGCGTTGTATTATATCCGACAGGTTTGCAATAAATTCTATCACGGACTATAAATATAATCAAAGTTTCATTCAAATCAACTAGGCAGTGTTTTTATGGTATGTTTTGAGAAAATGGTTCATTTTGAAAAATTTCCTTATCCAAGTTGTAAAGTTGTTCAAGATGACTTTTGTTCCTTGTATATTCATCAAATTTTAAAAAGTCATAAAAAATGGTTTCTGCTACATTTCAGCAAATGAGGAAGTATCAGAAAAGTAAAATATTTTTTTCTCATCAACAAAGAAATATGGCTGCTTTACAGTAACTTCGAGATCTTTTCTGGCAAATTTATAAAACTTAGAACCTAAATCTGAAATGATACCCCTAACTCTCAATCCAATTTTTGATAATTGCCTAACAGCTTGATGTGGATGAATTTGTAAAAAAGTATGCAACAGGCTGTTTCCAGTTCGAATGTATGCCTTTTGCCATGACTACCAAGGCATATTCTGCAATAGAAGCCGTTTTCTTGTTAAATAATTCCTCAAAACCAACTATTCTATCATTTCCTATATTGTAGAATAAGTGTGAGTTGATGCTCATTTCATCGAAACAAATGTTATCCTTTTCTTGATTACTGAAGTTATTGATTTTTAATCACTCCACTATATATGGTCTATAACAATTTATTTTATGATTTTCGTAATATGTTCATTACTTCAATATTACATAATGAATAATAAAAAACATACCTTTTCTTTTTTAGTCAATTGGAAATCGAAAAAAATTAATGCCGACATCACCCTGCAAATTACAGCAACCCACAGCTCGACACTTGCTCATTTTGAAACTAGACACAATTTTTTTACAAATACAAAACCACCACTTACAACGACTCACTTTGTAATAATATTCCATGCCTCAATTTGACTCGCTTGGTAAACGCCTCAGATTCAGTCGGTTGCTCTGTAGTTCGGCCGCGCATAAAATTCGAGGTGGGGAATCTTGACCAAATGTGGCGGAGAGTGAACTTACTTGTGTTTACTTCTGTAAGGTACCTCAATAAACCAGAACGCTCTATATCAACTGCGAATGATCCTGACGTGCTAGAACCTGAATTTCGTAGAACCAGAACAAACCTAGAGAGACTGCGAAGTATGGAATAATTTATGACTTTAATTATAACATATTTCAGGGTTCGTAGTTCGTATATAGGCTTACAAAATAGTGTCCACTTCAGATGGGGTACCTGATGTTAGGTATTTCGGCAACAGCATCCGAGAAAAAATATTTATTTAGGCGAGTTCTTGAATTCAACAGAAAAATTCTAATTAATTGCCTTCACCAATAAAAACGCGGCAACATTTTGAAAGGACCAATGGATACATCCATATGATCAATCGGTGGACTTATCGATGAATCTAAGTTACTCCTTGATAAGGGGTNTGGTTTACCCTAATGTACAAATGTTCATTAAAAATATAATACATAATGTAAGTGTGAGTGCAAAGTAAAAATAAATTAATAAATGAAAAATAATATATAGTTATTTGAATAAAATAATTTATGATTGTGAAAAAAAACTAAATAATATGGATACAGATGCACTCATACACATACATTAAAATTCATTGTTTTTTTGATATGCTGCACTAACGCTTGTTTGAAATTGTGAACACTTTTGTTGTTTCTCAAAGAACCAGGTAGTCTGTTAAATTCCACCAGTCCTCTGAAAAACAGACTATTCATTGCTGACCTTGAGTTTGTCCTGGATACATGGAAGCTTATAATGGTTCTAGTGCCATATTGGTAGACTTCACTGTTGACTTTAATTAAATTATTGAAATAGGTAGGTTGAATACCTTTTATTAATTTGAATAGAAAAAACATATTTAGTAGATAAGATCTGCTTGAGATTGACAACCTCTGAAGATAATCGAGGATTTTCTTTATAGGGGTAAGTCGATTGCACTCAGAATTATACGCATACTTTTTTTTGCAGTTTTTGTAGTCGACGTAAATTATTTTGATTTAGAAGATACAATAATGTAGCACAGAAGTCAAAATGTGTCTGAATAATACAGTTGTAAATTGAGACTCTTGAGTTAATACTGGGATATGGGGCCTCTTTTGGAAAAAGGAATAATTTTCAAGAAATCTTTTTGGAATATAATCAACATGACTATTGATTGTCAGTGTTCTATCAATCATAAAACCTAGATATTTCATCACAGTAACAATTTCAAGTCGTTCATTTCCTATTTTGATGTTCACTTTGATTATTCAACCTATATTTTGTATACAACTATACAAATAATTGATTTAGATTCACATCCATTTTTCAAGCTGAGATATTTGAATATTTTATTGTAAAGGTTAGAACCAGAAAAAACATCACCGAAAATCAACAAATAAAAACCAAAGTGAAAATATTACAACTCAAGTAAATACTCGTATGTACAAACTTTTGAACTTATTCCATTAATTCAGATGAATTTTCAATATCGCTGGGCTGGGAAGGCCGCAACTTCCGTTTTACATGAATTTTTTTTCTCGCTAATTTGATCACAAAATAATAATTTTCAAGTTGGTCTGAAGCATTGAGTGAATGATGAATTAATAAAATTGAAACATTCTTAAAAACAGTAACATCACAAAAATATTTACTTATAATGTAAGCATAAATTGTCGTTAGAATTGATAACATGCATTTTTTAGGTGGACGCCACAGATCCACTAGTGGTTTATTATTATTAACTGGTCTCATTGTGTTTGTGACTGCCGAAAAACTATTCACTGTGATAGAAAAAATTGTAGAGAAAAATGCAGTAACTACTCCTGAGAACAACAATACCAAAGGCTTAAAGCCCCAAGAATTCAAAAAATCTGCCGTAAGTAAAATTATTTTCTATCTTAATATATTTTTTTTCTTCGAAGATAGAGTATTTCCTAAGAGGAATTTTTGATAATGAGTAATTTGAAATTATCAAAACTTGCTTTTATTGCCAGTTTCTACATAATTTTTTTTTCTAAATCTGAAATAATTAGATATACAATTTTCACGTTCATACATTGCATATTATTTATGTATACATGTCGTGTATTATGATTTGCATATACAGTGTCACCATTAAAGTGCGCACCATATGGAAACCTTTTTTTTCGAAAAGTTTCAATCAAGTTTAATTTTGGCACTTGTTTGTGCTTTAAATTTAACTTAAAATGATGCGGCCAACTGCGACTCACTGACGTTCAGTGTTTGTCAAATTCAACTTTTTTTTTGAAAAAAATTGAAAAAGTGCATTTCTAGATCGAATTTAACAAAAAGTTACTTGAAAAAGTTGTGTCTACGGCAATTCTATATCCATATGCCAAATTTTATGCAACTAGGATAAAGTTAACGTTTTGCTCATTTTTGACAGATATTCTCTTTATTTTAAAAAACAAGTTCGGTTAATTGTCATCAATTCATGTATACATAACAAACTCATCGTGGAGTTTAACTTTTCTGATAAATTTTTACTTATACGGACAT